TGCTTGAAAGCTTACAAAGCTGTGTCTGTTGCTACAGTAATTTTGGAATGTGACAATAATGTAGCAGTTATTGTGACAGTAAGAGATACAGAACCTTCCGGTTTGTCACTTAGAAGACTTGGACAGTTTCTACAGCAATTGTTTTGTGAAACACATAATTAAAACATATGTACAGTTTCGTGTAATTCATCAGAGAAACATGTTTCATTGTCAAATCGCTGATAAGTCCTGCAACAAGTAAGTAATATTGCCTCTTCTTAAGAGGAATATGCAGCACTGATTCTAATTCAGTGTTAAATCAGATGGTGTAAAACACAGAAAGTTGACTGCAGACTGCAGACTGGGGTGAAATGCAGACTGAGGGTAAAATGCAGACTGCAGACTTTTTAACTGAATCATGTTACCGTTTCCATCATTGATAGCTAACCGTAAACAGGCTAACCAGCACGTCATCAATGGGCTAACATGAATAATTTGAAATAAGTGTTGATGTTAATGAATGGGTTTGCAAAACATGCCATAGACATGCAGTAAAGTATAAACTCCATGTGTTGTTGTTAATGGCATGGTAATTTTCAACGAAACAGCTCTCTTTGATTCAAATGAATATGAATGCAGATTGCTTGCACCATGAATTGCATTTCAAAAGCTATTATGCAATACAGTTTAAGATACAGGTAATATATTTTTAGTGTTCTTGCTGATGTTCTATTCTAATACTGCCAGTATGTTGCCATGGCTACCATGTAAGGCTAGTACAATCAAAGTCAATTTTTTTTAAAAGATAGTTGCAATATAAGAGTTTTGTATTGCCATTAAATATCAACCCTTAGAAGGTAGTTTTAGCACAGGCTGCTGATTGGTTCATTATAGCAATTTCTGTAGATTAAAAGATGGCATTGGTTTTAATCCAGAATAACACATTATTTGATGCAACAAAGAATTTCAATAAATGTGTGGCTTCCAGGCTATATCAGTGAAGGCTAAGATCCTACAAAAAGGTGATTGTGAAAGAGTTAAATGTTATATTAGGGGGCAAAGGCTGATGAAGATTGATTTTGACACTGCAGATGGAATGCTAAACACATAGCAAACTTACAGATAGGAAGGTTTTACATCATTGAAGGCATTAGTATCATAGTTTTGATTATAAGACATATCTCACCACATACAACGTATACAATTGTACCAGCAAACACAGTACTGTAAAGCAAGTGGATGTGATCACAATTAATATTGAACCAGAACAAGGAGAATCATCTGGTAAAGTTGTTGTTGCCTCAGTCATGCCAAATAGTATGTACTACTAATAATTTATTATAAATCAACTTTATACAATAGTTGTCTGATGTGTAACACAAAGATCCAGATAGTTGATCATAATGTTGTAAAGTGTCATAAATGCAAGCTAACCAGTTTTATTGTTAGTACGCTCCCAGACACATCAGGAACAGAATATATTAGTCCTTACCAATGACTTGAACCAGATACTGTACACTTACACTATCTTTGGTGCAACTATGAACACATTTTTATAGAAGGTAGCAAATAAAGTCACTGATTGTACCAAAAACCAACTACTAGAATATTTTTCAATCAAAACCTTTAGGTTTACAGTCAGTGACAAAGTCATCCTGTAAGCTGCATGACAGATATTTAGACTGTCATTTACAGGGACCACTGAGCATCATTTGACTTGGGGTAGTAGCAACCAAGCACATAGCGAGTGAGATAATGGTCTTAAATAATTTGACACTGTACCTAGAGCTTCAGAACTGCTGAATGTTTGACTTAGTCAATTTCAAGCTATAGATTATTTTTCAAATGGCATCTATATTAATCACAAAAATCTAGGATGGGGGGCCTTTCTATAGCTATGGACCATTGTGCTGGGAGCTTTGCATTCCCTGGTATGCTTTATGGTAATTTGAGGTCAAAAATTGTTACAGTTAATAGCCAATAGGCTCTATTTAATAGATCACAAGAAGAGCTAAATGAGCTTCATACACATGTATGTCATTAATGTGTGCATGTTCAGTTCAAAGAACATTGGATTCAATCTCAACATCATATGTACAACTGGATCATTCCACTGTTGTACACAGTCTTGCCTCTGAACTTTTCAAGAAACATCATGTTAGAAATTCAATTACCTGATAATAAATGCTTTTTTTTTGTCAAAATAACCATGTTTAATAAATCGTTACATTCACTTCTTTAAGTAGTAATTATTTTCTTTGCTCTGATTGTATTAAGCATAAACTGTTAAGCAGTAGCCACATGCACACTTTGTGAGCCTATTGTTTTCAAATTATTAAGATTGCATGGGTTCACCAAATAATAGTTGTACAAAGTTTTGACTGCCAAAATGGGCATGTCACACTAGAATGACTGTTGCTGCAATATGTCCCTGCTTCATGTCCCTGCAACATCTCGTATGAAAATGATGTACTTGGCTTTTCACTTTTCAAAAGCAAGTTTTGATTTTCTACTTGCTAAAATAAATATGTTTCCCAGGTGGTAATCTTGTGTTACAGGTATTGTAAGAACTGCTTCAAAAATACATGTTAGTCAGAGATTGGGGTAACCAAGACTGAGTGGATCTGTGTAATATAATGCTGCCTGCATTTCCATTTGCTCCAGCATTTAATAGTTAAAGTGGTGACTACAGTTCTGTACTGAAGATAAATTTCTATCACAACTTCTTTATTTGGTGCATGTAGATCCTCCACGAATTATAACACAGCTACCTATAGAGTTAACATGGAATGAAGGTGACTCCAAAGAACTTACTTGCAGCACTGATGGAAAACC